ATATATGTAATATAATGTGTAACCCTTTCAGGGACAGCAGTCACTACAGTGGATAGTTTATCAGGTTCCAGGTTTTCATTGTCGGTTGCACGGAAGGGTTCAAATCTTTAAAAAGTATGACACTTTCTCCATGTTTGTTTTGTGCAGAGAAAAACAGTGTGGTTAACGTTCACATTTTTGATCCTGTTTTTGTAACTTAGCGAATGTGAAAACATATCGAGAGCCTAGAAACACTGCCGTCGAACTCACGATCAGATCGGGTGGGGCAATCTGTGCCCATCTGTCTATTCTCAGTTCTTTCCATGAATCCAAAGCCAATGTTTGCCATGATATTCAACATTTCTTCTGATGTCTGTCTCGTCTTATCCTCGCCGCCTGGCTTTAGACTCCCTACTTCGGCCTGTGGTTCCAAGGGAAGACCCAGGCTCCGGCGCAACGTTGGGTGGAGTTGGAGAAGCCCCTCAAGAAGCAACTGGACAAGTTTGGCAATGAGCCACTGCTTTTCTTCGGGGTCATGTTCTACGTGCCCAGCGTATCTCGCTTGGAGCAGGAAGCCACCAGGTAAAAAAAACAGCAGCTGTGGATTATTTCTCGACATTTGTTTCTGCTACTCCCAAGTGTCCAAAACACCGGCGTCGTCTCGCTCATCCAAGAATACGGCACACCCGCGTTTGAATCCGCTCTCAACGCGCAGTGTGCTTGCGTGCAAACGTTCGGTTTGCGCGTGTAGCAGATGCGAGGGGGGCCGTCCGGAGGTCAGCAATGCGGACGGCTGGAACTCGCACAAGCAGCGCTAACATCCAGCTGCTGAATTTGTGGCTTCTGTCTGCCTGCATGTGCAAAAAGGGTCGACGGCGGGTCAGGGCTTTTGACGTTGCACTTGGATTGAAGATGTGGTAGCGCGTGTGCTTGGGTGTCCTTGTGTGTGTGAGGATATTTACGCATTCATTATATGATATGTGGTACATTGCACGTTTTCCCTGGTGTGCACTGAACTTTTTCTTGACTCTGTGGATTATTTCTTGCCATTCTTTTTATTCTTTTTTTTTTTTTTTTTTTACAAAGTGGTGGTGATAACGTTGCCTCATATTTCAACACTTTTCCCACCAACACCGGGTTTGGTACCTAAAGTGTCTTTGGTGTCCTTCACATAATCTGCACATGAAAGTATAAAAGGTTGTCCACGCGTTCCGTGAGCCGAAATGGAGCCATTTGGTCATGAGACTGACCAGCCTGACTTTGTTAGAGAGAGTGCAGGTTTATTCTACAGAGGCCAGGATCTGCTCCGCTAAAGGGCTGGTATTCCAGGAATCCCCTGCGGGCTTTATGGTGTGTGTGTGATTGTACCAGTGTGTGTGTGTGTGTGTGTGTGTGTGTGTGTGTGTGTGCGTGTGTGTGTGTGTGTGTGTGTGTGTGTGTGTGTGTGTGTGTGTTGTGGTGCGTGTCTATGGGCGAGTTATGAAGGGGACTGAAGAGAAATGTAGGCAACAATAGTCTCCTCTCTTTCCCCCCTTTCGCTTCCTTTTAGCACGCCCGCACTGCACACATCGTGTCGCCAGCACATTTTCATTCGAGTCCCGTATTTGGTTCTCTTTCATTCCTTCCCTCCTTTTTTCTCCTTCTTGTGTGAGTCAGGAATGTTGGCACAGCCGACCAGCGTAGGAGGCGGACCACACATTCCTCCAAGCAGAAGTGCAGAGAGAGAGGGTGGGGGGTGCCAGGAGAAGTGGGCTGATGTCTGGTTGATACAACAGACACACACATACATGCACACATGTTGGTTTCATCTCACACACCTCGCAAGAATCCTCCGAGAAGCCAGCTGCAGAAGCGCTGTCAGAGGATTTAGTCACAATGCGCCGTATTGTGGGCCCCCGACGCGCCACCCGAGGCTTTGGGAAAGTCGCACCCCGCTTTTTAACACCCCCCCTGCTCACTTCAAGCTTGTAAACAATCCTCACAGCCCGTCTGTTTGCGTGACGTGTCCGTTTATTTGCTAACATGCCGGCAAAAAAACGGGAGAACTTCCTTCCAGACCTCCTGTAAACAACCTTGTAATGCGCATGCCAGGCCACTAGTTGGTGATGTTCCTTTTGGAAATAAACACAAAGCGACTGCAGACCAAATTCCTGTCCTGACAGTTTTTGTTCGAAATCAGTTTGGAGAATTTCCCTGAAAGGGGCCGTCAGTGAATGAATTCAGTGATTGTGGGAGTGACGACTTAAGTTTAAATGCGGCTTCCATTGGAATCGTGTTCACGCGGAGGTGAATTCGTCGTGAGGCAGAGCTCAAGTGGCGGACCGAGAATGTCATTGTTTTGTCTTTTGGTTCATCCCTCGTTATGTATGTGGTTATAACCTTCCCGAGTTTTTTTATTTTTTATTTTTTTTGGGCTTGAACTTAAGTATAATTATGCTTCAGCTCACCACATAGAAAACGATGTTGATGTTTTTTATTGTAAACACAGAGTGAGTAACACAGCCTTTGGGTATATTGTTTTCTTGATTTACCGCTGGCAAAACTCGTGAGTGTCAAAAATCTTGATGCAAAGGTTCAAGAAACAGTAAGAAACAGTTGTTACTGTTTTTGCTCTGTGGCTACAGGTGTGAACTATAATTATTTCGGCAAGGTATTTCTCAAAATAAACGCCGGCCTTTTCCGCATCGAAAAATAGCTCGTAGCTGTAATGATCTGAGTTCATGGACGCGATCGTTCGTTGAAGCGTTGAGCCCATTTGAAAACTTGCAAAGCAAAACAGCAGCCCCTACCGAAAAAGCATGTCAAAACTCTCTCATTTTACAGCACGTTGTAAATGAGTTCCTTGTGTCGTATTCAAGATGATCTCACGTCATGTGGCCTTCTCCACCATGTCGGGCCGCGTCCTGTGAGGATGCAGTGAACCCCCCGGGAGAGCAAGATGTTGCCACAAGGGGAGATTGAAGCATGAAAGCGATCCGTGTTGAATCACCACTTTGAAGCGGAGGGTCAGACTGATGTGTAACCCGACGCCCGTTCTTCCCTCTCTTCCCAGCGTCCGTCCGTTCATTCATCAGTGTCTCCTTTTCCTCTGTGCAGCTGTGAAAACCCCCCCCAGCGTCTTTTTCTTTCTCCGTCGCCACAATAAGTACACGGGATATTCCAATTTTTAGGGAGTGAGAGCAATAATTCAATTAAGATAGGATCCATGAAAACAACGGAATTTAAATTGACTGTGACGGGCCGCGGAATGTGAAATCAGAGATGGGTCTGTAAAAACAACAGATAATGTTGAAAACCTGTGCAAAGACAGAGAACTACGTAGTACTCGCTTGTACTGATATAGCGTAACTATTTTCCACCATTTCAGGTTTTTAGGATTTTTTTGTTTTTTTGTTTTTGCTAAAACAGCGCTTAAACTCCACAGGCGTTGACCCCCTCCCACTATTTAAAGAACCTGAGCGCCTTGTTTTGCATCAGCAATTATCGGGCGCGATTGCGATTATGCCTACACCCTGGAAATTCAGCTTCCCTTCAATATCGTTTTAGAGTGCCTTGTTGTGAGCTGTGAGAGCTCGCACATCGCAGAGAGAAAGGTAGAATCTTTCTTTCATTATTTCTTTAATTTCTAAATAAAAATCGGCGACAGCCAACTACTGGACCGTGGTGTATAACTGGTGCGTCTGCTTTAGAGTGCCTTGTTGTTGCGGTATACAATAGTGGGATATATATTCCAGCCAGCCAAGGCTTTAACTCATTCACTCCCAAAGACGTTTTTAAACGTCTTTTCAGACTCGGTCCAGAATTGGCTGGTACTGAATGAGTTAAGCAGGTATATTTTCACAGCTCAAAAATATCAAAACCTCACACCAGACGTGTTTGATTGACAGTCAAACGTGGGCTCAGCGCATCCAGCAGACGCGCCCGCGGCCTTTGCGAGCGTAGCGAAAGGCAGCGAACGACTTGTCCCATCCATCGACTTTCAAAATGAAACCTTTCCCTGGAACACAAACGTTTTCCTGCCCCTGCCCTACACAACGGAACACTCCCTGCAACTGACTTGCATGTACTGCACGGTTCATGGAACCCTGATGTCGCGTCAAAAGTAGTCCAGAGGGACAAAGTGCGGAATCGAAGCAGCTCTTTGTTGACCGTCTGGCCTCAAAAGCCCTCAAGGCTAACAGCATGCAACGCCCTTGAAATCCTAGCTCACAGAATTTCACGGACACACACACACACACACACACACACACACACACACACACACACACACACACACACACACACACACAGAGACACAGCTGTACTTTTTTGTGCCCTTGCTGATTCAACACATTTCAAATGCAGATCCTCGTGTCCTCCCACACGTCTGCCCTCATGAATGGGCCAAAGGAGGGGGTTCGGGGGTGGGGCGTGGGGGGGTCAAGCTGCAAGGGTTAGTTGGCACATGCACGCACATATGTTTGCGGGCTCATCGCACAAAAAGGACCCCTTCGGACATCTGGCGGCTTCTTGTGTGAGGGTTTGAGCACGCTCGGGTGCTAGAATAAGGGCTCTTTGTAAGACCGTGTGGGCTGCCGTGCCAAAGGAGGATTCTGCCACGGTGGAAGTCGCAAGTGGCCACGCAGGTGGAAAGTTGGCTTCACTTTTCTATGCTTGTTTCCCAGGTGGTGATGTCATTCTCATGTGCCAGTTGTGTGCCGGGAGAAATCTCATAAAAGTCAGTCCAGTCATTTTGCCAGCAATAACTCGACCGATGTCATAAGCGTCATCATAGTGGGGAGGTAACTCCATCCATCCGTCCATTTTCCGATCCGCTTTATCCTCACAAGGGTCATGGGGGGTGCTGGAGACTATCCCAGCTGTCTTCGGGCAGTAGGCGGGGGACACCCTGAACCGGTTGCCAGCTAATCGCAGGACACACACACACAGACGAGACAACCATCCGGGCTTACACTCACACCTAGGGTCACTTTAGAGTGTTCCATTAACCTGCCATGCATGTCTTTGGAATGTGGAAGGAAACCGGAGTACCCGGAGAAAACCCACGCAGGCACGGGAAGAACATGCAAAACTCCACACAGGAAGGCCGGAGCAGAAATCGAACCCTGTACTTCTGCATTGTGAGGCGGATGTGCTAACCAGCTGTCCACCATGCCGCCCAAATAATCAGTGATCAGATTTTTACTCTGACAAATACTGGAATCAACATCATCCTCAAAAAATGCATATTTGTCGGATCCTAGTAGTAATCGAGCAGTGCAAATGCATGTTTTACAAAAAAAAACCAAACGCTAACCCAAAAAGGTTTTGGGGGGCCATTGAATTAAAGTATGGTAACAGAGAGTGAAATGTCATTGTTGTTTTAACAGTTCCCAACCTGCCTCCATGCACGCTTCCCGTGTGCAAAGGTCACAAGTCGACATGCCTGCTTTGGTTTCAGGGTCAGAAGCCAGCAAGGTTTTCGGACCCAGTGCCGCGATAAGATTAGATGTTTTTGTGACTCTGCTGTGTAGTCGAGACTCCCCTGGGACCTCTTTTTTATGGCGCCTTCAATGTTACGCTTTCATCGTCATTTCAACAGCTTCCTGTCCGGCTCACCACAGCCGGCAGGCCGTTGCACGGAAACCCTCCCAGCGACCGCTCTGCAGACCCCAGTGCGCCGAGCGAAAACACCAAGCCATGGTACAAACAAGGTCCACAATAGCTTGATGGTTTTGCTACCGCTTGGCTCCTCCTCTCCTGACCGCAGTGAGCTCCGCCCACTCTTCCCCCCTTCTCACTGCAGCGGCGGTGGTGCGGCCTGGCTAATTAGAGGGTTGCCACGGGAACGGAATGGCATCCTAGCCAATGGGTGTAATAACAGGGTGAGGGAGGAGGAGTGCGGGGTCAGATTATAGGCCTGGTAGTATGCGCCGAGAGGAGCTAAAAAAAGGAAAGAAGTGGGGGAGACGGGGTGAGAATGTGAGGTGGAGATGAAAATGGAAAAAAAAAAAGAATGCAGGAAGGTTTAAACATGAAGGCGGAAAAGTGGGTCGTCTTTGAAAATGAATCTTTCGGGAGAGCGGTTCGCCAACATCTCATGTCATTTCTTGGTGTCTGATTGCTTCGTAAAGTAATGGCGAATCCCGAAATTGCTCAAGTTTGGCATTTCTGAAGACCGCGCTTTAGGAGGAGTCAAAGCATGTTGTCCTTGAGCAAGACTTTGAAAATGAAACTGTATGAGTATGCGTTCCTGACTGTTTTTGGGCTCCATGTGTGAATTCCAAGATGGCGCCGTAGTTGGCAGCCGTCGGCAAGAGCTCTTCAAGAGCTTTGCTTTTTGTTGTTTTTGTCTTTTGTTTTGTCGTATGGTGTTTGTTGTGCGTCGTGTGGACCCAACGTGGACTTCTTTTCAGCGTTTTGGCCACGATGTTCATCGAAGAAGCTTTACTTGGTGGCAGGCGTGTGCCAGAACTGATTTCGATTGGGAGGAATGTCGGTGCTGTTTGACTGTCGCCGCTTGTGTCTTTTGTATTTGTAATGGGCAGCATTTTTCACAGCACCGTTTTGTTCAGCGGAGATGTCAGCGCTGTTGGATAGTCTGCATTGGTGCGGCTGGATGGATGGCTTGTGGAGCCGAGGAAGAGGAGAGTTGCGCCTCGGCGCAGATGCGTATTTGGAACTGAGTCGCCGCTTGGAATTGAAGCGGATTTACATGGGACAGAAAAAAATGAACCGATCTCTTTTTTTCATGAGTGGACGCGACAGCTTCTTGTTTACTTTCAAACTTAGCTTGCAGCAGACGTGTGCACATTTTGAGCATGGCGTCTCTGATCCACTGGTGAAAGGAGACTTTCACTCGCTCCTCTTTCGTCTAGAACTGCTTCAAACAACAAAGCGGATGCAGGAAAAGTGGTAAAGATTGACTATCTGTGTCTTATGTTATGTGTTGTTATTTTATGTTAACTGTGCTGTATAGCGCTTTGTTACAGCTGCAGCGGTTGTGAATGCGCAATCTAAATATTTATTGTGTTGTATTGGTATGAAGTGCATACGTGTCGGGCGAGGTAATGGCAAGTGTTTGACGCGAGCGTGAGAAAAGATGCCACTGACGTTCAACTTGAGCCATGCGGTGAATCAGCATCGCTCATGACGCATTTCATACTTGTATATCTGTAAACAAATTCTTTTGCCATCAAAGGCACTTTCTCAGTCTTGTTTTTGTTGGTTTATAAGATTAGTCCGTATGGGGAACTCTGCTTTGAAAAAAAGCTGGCAGTGATGAGTCACTTCCTCGACAGTGGAGATGCAGGTTTTGGCAGAATTATGTCATTTCTGATGACGTGCGTTTTTTCTTTTTTTTTTTCTCTTTTTAAAAAAAATCAAAGTCTAATTTAATAGCCAAAAGGAGACCTGTAAATGCATGTTTGTCGGAGATTACCTCCAGTGTTCTCTGGCATCGGGAAAGTTTGCCTTGCAGCCCACACTGGAAAGACTCAAGCCCGCATCGCCATGGCAACAAACAGGAAACGGCGTGCAAGTTTTTCAATGTGGCCGAGCCCAACGGTTTCACTCGCCTTTCCTCCTTGTGTGGCCATTCTTTCAAAGACAAACGCTCGCCTGGACCAGGGGCTAAAAGTGGACAAAAAGGGAGCTGAGAAATGTTAGTCTTAGTGGCTTTTGGGACTCGAACCGCATTGTGTGAAAGCTTTGGTGGCCTCAACAATCTCAGCAGTGTTATATTATATCAGCCTAGTGCCAAGCCAAACCACCGCAGGCCCAACCCGCAAGGCATCCCTTTTTTTTTTTCCCAACACTGGCACAACAAATTCTTCTTGTGTTTCACTACTTTGCATTCATCCGTCTTCGCATCACATCTCTGGCCGTCAAACTAAGCAGAAAAGCTTTGTCATAAATCTCGAGTCCAAAATGAGTCACTCGGGTGATTCACTCATTCCTCACTAGAATTCTGTAAAAGACCTCTGTGATGTTGCCAATCCCCCCCCCCCCCCCACACACACACACCTTGATGCGTTCTTTGTGTTGCAAGTCTTTCAAGCAGCGTCTTTTTTCATCTATCGTCACGTTACTTTCTTCTTTGCCAACATGTTTTCACAGAAGTGGTTTTGGAAATTAACGAAACGTTGAAAGCTTAAAGAACTTCTTTCAAGCGAAGTTTTTTTTTTTTTTCGGTTTATTTTTGTAGACGTGCTTCAGTCACACACTTCTGGAACAATTCCGCACCGGCTTTAGTGTTATTCTTTGAACTTGATACAATTAAAATAAATCAGTCATGGCGCAAAGATGAAACAGTTTTACGCTTTATCGGTAAACCACAAATCACATTTCAAAAAGATGAGCATTACCGTATCAAATTTCAATCTGCGTTGCTACTCTATTTCGCCTCTCCAAGAGTAGTTGTTGTCTTTTGGCGCCAGAGGAACAAGAAGTCTCAAACCCGTCAACCAGTAAGCAACCTGGCCAAAAGTGGCTGACGTGCATAAATAATAAATTACAGTCACTAATTGAGTACTGCATCGATCAAGATGCGGTAATATAAAGTCAGCATTCTGCGACAGCATTTGACACCTGGACTGTGAGCCCAGTTGCGCCTTTAACGCCTCCAAATGAGCTAATCAGAGGTGTCATTTGATTTAGTGGAATTGAATCCAACACTTGCTTGTTCCCAAAATAGAAAGAGCGTTTATCACTTTATTTTATTTGGCAAAAATGAATCCACACACACTTACCTTCATAGCTGACCTGTTCCTTTTACACTGAAGCGTTACAGCGATCCATTTTTAACAAAACAGGCATACTCAAATGTGTGCAACCTAACTATTTTCACTCATAATTGACATAATTGGTTGTGGGTACAGCCCAATAGTATCCATTTGTAAAAGAATATGAAATTGACCGTATTTGTGCATACGAGTGTTCAGCCCTATCTCTAACCTCTCATCTCCAACAAAATATTTATCGACTGTGCCTTTTTTTTTTCCAGGTATCAGTATTACCTCCAAGTGAAGAAGGAATTGTTGGACGGACGCCTCCACTGCACGGTGGAGCAGGGCATCAGACTAGCTGGCCTAGCAGTGCAAGGTAAGAGTCGCCAACGGCTGACACGTTCACACACCACAAACGCACAAGAACAAACTCGTGCGAATCATCTTGCCGAGAAGACAGACAGCACACGAGAGCGCAACCTCGCGCACTTTTTCTCAGGTCATCTTGACTTTGCTACCTAATATGGCTACATTCCGCGAGGAGAGCCCAGTCGACTTAAGTTCCTATGGTATCACTTTTTACACACACATGCGCGCGCACACACACACACACACACACACACACACACACACACACACACACACACACACACACACA